ATTGTCTTAGTATTTCATTTTTCTGGATTATTGTTTGATATGATGTTAGTGTTACTTCTTTTTTGAGTTATTGACTTGTTTATGTTGATACCGTTGATGAGAATTACTCTTTTGATATTGGCTTGAGTTTTGTAAACAAGGTATTTGTTGAAATGCCACAATGAGTTTACTTATGTTAACTTTGAGTATATCTCAGTTCATAATGATCGTAACACGTTTGCAAAAGATATTGTTTGTTTCGAGAAATGTTTATTTTTCAAATCACAATATATATTTGGACGAATTATATTTCATTGTTTATATAATCTCTATGTTTAATGTTTTTTATCATTTCAATATCTTTGAATTGATTTACAGTTTACAATTGTAAATGAGGGTGAAATTTGTAAATGATTGAGGTTATTAGGTATTATTGCCATTTGTAACCATGAAATCTATAAAATTTTAGATAAATATAAACTCAACCATAATTTTAAATTTACTAAAATATTTGGGGTTATCTTAAGATTAAATATTTTATTGCTAAGAGATAAGAGTTTTACAATTTTGAAAATTGGTAACAATATGAAGAATTAGTTTAGTATGTAGAATCTTATTTAATAATGAAAAGTTAGTATCCAAGTAATATTCATTCATGACCTCTTTAGTCATATAAATTGCAAATTGTTTAATTTTATTGCAAGTTTTATCAGCAATTGATGTTCCAAGAATTATTTAATGTTGATGATGTTATTAATTTTGTCTGTTATAGGGGTTACCTGTGAAGAGCAAGGTTGTGATCGTTTTCAAGCATCCTACTGTGTAGCTTTCTTAGAAGTTATTGATTTCTTTACAGGTATTCTATGTTTTTGTTTAACTTTCTTAGTTTAGTTTAGACTACTTAATTAGTATGGATAAAAAATGGATGTCTTCTAATCGATTGTCTAAAGAGTACGAGAATGGGGTATCGAAATTCATTAAGTTTGTTGTTGAACACACCAAAGACCCCAGTAGGATCACATGTCCTTACTTAGGTTGTTGTTATGGGCGCCGAATTGACGCCGTTCAGTTGGAATCTCATTTAATGAGACATGGAATTGATCAAAGTTATACATGTTGGACATTACATGGTGAGATAAGTAACGAGAATGTCGAACCCGAGGATAATACGACCTATGCTTCAAAGGACAATGACAGAGATACCTTGCTCTTTGGTCCATTCTTCTTCAGGTATAAGCACAGATAGTCCATCTTTATCAGTCTTCACTGGATGTGTCCAGCCTGAGTTTTCCAGCTCTCCATGCCTTGCTATCTAAGAACTTTAAGAAGGCAATCATCTTAGGTTTCCAATAGTCATAATTAGAGCCATCCAGAATTGGAGGTCTATTTGTGAATCCTATGTCTTTATCCATAGTACCAGAATTTATCTTCCCTAGATCTCACCCAGAAATAACAGACAGGGTGCCTGCTCTGATGCCAATTGAAATTCTGGCAAGCACACGATGGATGTTATCACGGATGTTATAACATTCAATGTAACACAGATTATTGGAATAATTAAAATTGTAAAGGAAAGCAGTAAATAACACAATAATTGTTTACCCAGTTCAGTGTCAACAACACTTACATCTGGGGGCTACCAAGCCAGGGAGGAAATTCACTATCAGCAGAATTAATTCAGAGTCAAACAACCCAGTTTGCACTCCTCACTTAAAACCTACCCAATGACACTTCATCCTAGAGACACTCTAGACCTGAGTATTCCCACTCACTCCCCCTCAATCACACCACAGTGATATCCAAATACAATTACAGAAAATTATGAAGATATACTTCAACCACACACTTTGATCTTGCTTCACAACTTCGATTAAGGGACACACACTCTTGCTTAACAGCTTTGAGTGACACAACAACTTAGAACCTACCTAACCAATGCAGCATACAGTTGCTTGGTGTACAAGTATTCCTAAGACACACTACACACATGAAGAACAATCTTCTTCACTCACAAGGACTCTCTATACGCACTCTTTAATCTTCTGTCAAGAGCTGCTCTTATAGGATTGCTCCTTCTGTTATTTATAGCAGCAGTCAGTCCTTGGGCCTGGGTGCATAAATTAGGTTTAACCATAACAAAACCTTTCTTCAATAATCTGCACGCTTGCCATTTAATTCAGGAGCACTTTGTTTCACTTTAGGGATTCTAAAATGTCTCCTGTCTTTCAGATTGGGCTTCTAATAAGTTTTCTGATTTCTAGCTACCAGAAAAACTAATTTGCTTGCTGGATGTCATACGATCAGAGTCATGACATTGTGTATGACATTCAACTTAACTAACATTTAGCTAAGTTAACTTACCCTGCAAAATCCACATTATGTATGTAATAACACCTGTCATGACATACATACATACTCTAATATTTTTCCACAAAATGCAGCCAATCATGAGCACTTACACTATCTTTGGATGCAAGTGGGTTGAGAATAATAGTGGCATATGAATGAATAACTCAGGATTTTTGCAAGTGGATCTTAATAAGGTGGGGTACAAAGATGAGCCTTTTATTCTAGCCACGCAATCTAAACAAGTGTTCTATGTCACTGATCCAACAAGTACGAAATGGTCTATAGTTCTTTTTTCCAACAAAGTAATCGATGATAATATTGGAGACAAGGGTGATGTTGATGTTGAGAAGGAATCTTATATTATAGATGATTCAAATGAGAATTTTAGAGCAGACGACTCATATATTATAAATGATCATAACGAGGGAATTTGGATCAATCCATCCGTCCGTGTTGTTAAGAGACAAGTAAACCACGTTCTAATGAAGAAAAGAAAGAGATGCTAGTGACAAAGGTACTTGTAAAATTACATATTGTCTCATTCAATAAAATTACATATTTATATCATGCAATAAAATTACATAGTATGTCATTCAATAAAATTATATATATGTTTTTCTTATTTATACATCCTCATAAATGATCGTTTGTTTTTTCCATTTACAGTGTCTTCGTCAGCGCAATGGGATTGATTGCGGATATTTTGTATTGCGCTTTATGAAGGAAATTATTCACTCGGGTCAAATAGATATTCCAATCATGGTATGGATCAATTCATAAGTTATATGATTTATTTTAATAATTAACCGATATTTCATTTGAGTAATAAGTTTTAAAACTAAATTATGCATGTTCTGTTATATTATGTAGTACTTTGATGAATTCAAGTGTGGTACTTACTCGAACGCAAGATTGGAAGAACTTAAGGAGGAATGGTGTCAATACATTTTTGAGTTGAGAATTGTATAAGGTATATGTATCGTCAAATACTGATGTGGGATAAAAATATTTTTGGAAGTCGTATCTATTTGTAAAGTTATCGGTTTTGTAATTATATGTAAATTGACTGTATTTGTGAAGTTGTTATGAGGCTCGGATTGTGTTGAATTATATATAAGCAGGTTAATTTATGTGAATTACAATGATTATGGCCAAAGTGTTGAATTACAATGTATATATAAGGCCAAAATTTTGAAATAAAGGCCTGAATTATAAGCAGGGAATGTAATTGTTATAAGCAGGTTTATCGGAAAAAATATAAAAAAAGTGACTATTTAAAAAAAAAATTAAAATCGTGAAGAATAGACATCGCTTTTACTAAAAAGCGCTGCTAAAGGGGGAGCATAGAGAGCGCTCAAAACAGCGTTGCTATAGGAGGGGAAAGGGGGGAGAATAGGTAGCGCTTTGGAAAAGCGCTGCTAAATGGGGGGAATAGACAGCGTTTTTTGGAAGCGCTACTAAAGGGGGGAGTAATAGACAGCGCTGCTAAGGGGGGGGGGGGGGGGGAGGGGAGAATAGGCAGCGCTTTTCAAAAGCGTTGCTAAAGGGGGGAAAAGCGTTGCTAAAAGTGCTGCTAAAGGGGGCCTATAGCAGCGCTTTTTTTTGGAAAAAGCGTTGCCTTTACCTTTAGCAGCCATTTTAGGTCTTATTTGACATAGTGTATTTGTCTTTCTTTTTCTTTCAATTTTTTTGAAGAAGTTGTTTTAAACTTCTTATTATTCTTTTTCTTTTTCTTTCTTTTGAAAAAATTATCTAAAACCCCGATCCCAAACTTAAATGTTGTTAACTTCCAAGAGCAACGCCAAACTTATACAATTGTATAAGACAAGAAAAATAAATTATAGGTTGAAAGATTTAATCTTTCGAGTCACATGGTTATATAATAAGCTATGTCATCGAAAGAAATATTTAGAAAAGAAATATTGAATAGAATAGAGATACAATTTAGTAAGGTGATAAAAATCAATGTGTTATTTTAGAGTAAGACAATATAAGTATTAGTATTTTTTTAACTTACAACTATGCGGGTCTAATGGGCTACCCATGGTCTATATGGGCTAACCCTAATGAGTAGGAGGATTTTTATGGTTGGGCTAAACAAGCCCGGTAAAATATATATTAATTTTAAGGTCAAACTCCTATGATTTTTCGGGTCGTCCGGCCCGATTCATATGGGCTAATCCATTTTGACAGCTCTAGTGACAATAACAATTACCATGAGTTGATATGAAATATTCATCAAAATATATGAAAAATAAATTCTCCAATGATTCAAATGCTCTCCAAAATCATGCCCTAAAAACTTGTCACTTTCTATCTCAAATTTGGAACAACGTTTATTTAATATAATTAATTAGTAACTTTTTTATTGAATCTAAATATATAACATATGTTATTTGTTATTCCGTTTAATCAACTCAATTAATAATTGTGTAGAGATATCAGATGCAGAAGTGTCGGTTCGAATTCGTAACATATCACTTATTCACCACTTTTACAAGCTAAATTTTAGCCACTAAACTACCTATTTGACAACAACAACAAAAATGTTTTATGTTATACTATTGTAAATATATTTATTTATGGAAAGAAAACATACAAGTAAGTTGCTTAATTGATTTTGTACAACAACCTAAAATAAAAAGTTATACACATAATAGTTTTATTTTTACTTAATTGAAAATCCCTTGCCCTGGTGACAATATTTTATTTGGATCAAAGAGAGCCTTTCTTTTCTCAAAAACTTCCCATTTGTCGCCAAATTGTTCAATCCATTCTTCATGTGTTTTCTTTAGTGGAAGATATTGTTTCATCCCTATATCAACATCTTTACAAAATTGTAATATTTGTTGGTTTTGAATCTGAAATTCCTCTAATTTATCAAATTCACTTGTATGCAAAAGACTCACAATGTAGAAAATTTCTTCATTAGGTGTAACTGCTGACATATTATCATCCCACCTGCACACAGAGTTAGGTTAAATTTTTTGAGTGGCAAATGCAAACATAATTATGATTGTAATTAATTAATTAAAAATTAATATCTTATCATAAAACTTACTTTGCTTTGTTTGTTGGATAAACTATTACAAGTCCTGCTGTAATATTTTGTTTAAGGATAATACCTTTGAACACACCTTCATCAAAATCAGCCATTCTAGATTTTGGAACAAACATGTTTAACCATGGATGTGGAATATCCCAAAGTCCTTCTTTTCTTAATGCAAGTTCATCAGAATGAACTCTATTTAAAAATTCTTCATATGACACATTTTTTTCAAATATAAAAGTAGGTACAAAGTTTAGTCCTTGAACCAAAGTTTCAATTTCCTAATCAAGAAACAGTAATATATTTAAGTTAGTGAAAATGTCAATTAATCATACAAATGAAAATGAAAAATGAAAAATAACATATTAATTAAATTAGTTAATTACCTGATGAATATGATCTTGAGAGTTTTCATCGTAATATTTGACGACTTCAATGACGTAGATAATATCATGTTGGGTTACGAGAGAAGTTATGCGAGATCTATCGATTTCGGGATAAAATGATAGATCTATTGGTGGTTGATTTAGTAGTAACATTCCTTCTACATAATTGGGTGCATTAGTTTCATTTATCCCATTGAAAGAGATTAAATGTTCTTGATCTTCAGAAAATATAGAAAAGTTGTTGTAAAGTAAACGCAGCCACTTCACCTACAAACAATTAATCAAACATTCTAAACTACTTTATTTTTATCTAAATAATATTATTCATTTGAAAATACCATTATATATAATCATTATTATACTAAGATTTAATCTTTTTAAACTACTTTATGAAATTATTTGAGCTTTTATGATAAAAAATACAATAGAAAACATCTTGTTTACCCTTTGCGGTGCAGGTTCTAGAGCTATTCTGGCTCTTGTTATAATTCCAAATTGGCCTAAACCTCCAAGAACAGCGTAAAATAATTCAGAGTTTTTGTTTGTAGAACAAGTCACCAAGTCTCCTTCCCCTGTGATAGTTACGTTGAAGAAAGAATATATTTTTAAAAATGTATACATAATATTTTTCTTCATGAAATTTGAGTTTATAATGACACTGTTGCTATTGTTAATATTAAAGTTTCTAATAAAAAAAAACCTAGAGGATATTTTAGATTAAAAATGATTTTGATTTTTTGGTATAAATTAATTATTTTCTCCGTTGAAGTTGAGTTGAGTTGTGTAGCATTTCATTTGGTATATCTTAATTTTGAGTCAATAAAATTTCTGCATATCTTAGTTTTGAATAAATGATGGATATGCAGAATCTTAGTAAATATACGATGAAGTCACGTGACAATAACATTATTTTGTTTTTGTTTAGTAGTATTAATTAATTTAAAGCACATAAATCTCCTCTCCCATTTCTAAGTAGAAATTTTGTTCTTTTTCCTCTATGCCAAGGGCTAATTTTGTTCATATCTATCTGTTATTCTATGACACAATCTATAATAAAACATAGGACACTGAATTTTAAATTTGAGTATGACGATGGATACTACGCACAATGAATATCAAGAGATATTATCAACTAGCTAGTAGACATAGTTAGACGTTTTCTTTGGATAATTAAATAGACATGGTCAATTTTCACTTCAAATAGAGACAAATTTAAAATCTTATATACAGATATGATGTGACTTATTATATTATAAGATATATATATAATATATTCATCAATTTCTGGCATTTTATTTGGTTGAATAAAACCAATTCATCTTGTTTTCTATGTTTTAGCTATAAAAATATATATATTTTCTTTGTTTTTTTAAAGTTGAATTTTATAATTTTTTTTAAAATATTATAATTTTTTTTTTCTAAATTAAAAGATTAATTTTTTAAAAATAGTCAAAATAAACTAGCTCTTATTATGATATAAGTGACTATGAATGATATTTTTGTAATATTTTTATTATATTATAATTTGTATTTTATGATAAGTTATAAATTTATTAACTTTTTAATAATTTACTCTTATTAATTTACATCAAACTTTTTATATATTTAATGTATCATTAACTAAAAGTCAAATGTGATTGTATAAATTAATAAGCATAAATAATTCAAACTAAAACTCAAATATAAATTTAACAAAGTCTAGCTTGGTCTAAACTATTTTCACTTTCATAACCTTTTTAAAATAATTTCTGAACTCTAGAAAAATCTCAATGTCTATCACATTTTTTATATTTACAAATATTAAATGAAAATGTTTATTTATTTAATGACTACAAATATAAAGTGATATTTTAAAAATAATAATTAAATTCTCACCTTTAATTATTATTTTTTTTAATTTTAATAAATATAATAAATAAAAAATTAATGTCAAGATAAAGAAAAATAAAGTTAAATATATTTTTAATCAATATGAAATTCAAAATTTTATTTTAAGTTTCTACAAAATTTCTCTTGAATTTTTAATTAAAAAAAGTTCCCTATTTTCATCCTTTTTACTAATTTAAAATTGCTGAAAAAATAAATTTTAGGACTAAAAGTCTAATAAAATTATTAAAAAGATTAAAAATAATTATTTAAAATTTGATAATCCTATAAATATGAAAAGAATATCTGATACATACCTGTAATAACATCCAATTCATGAACATTGGAAATTTGAGGACCAAATCTGAAAGTTTGTCCACTAATCCCAGCATTAGAGAGTGTTCCACCAACAGATAAATACAAATAATCAGTCCAAGAAAGTGGTGTTAATCCTTTTTCAAGACATGCATGCAAAACATCTATCCATATTTGTTCACCACCAACATCAACATAATCATCAAACACAACAATTCCATTATTCAATTCAGTCATGTTCACCACAACACCATCACTTGTCATGGATTGTCCATTCACCGAATGTCCTTGACCTCTAGCAGCTATGGTAAAAGGGATTGGAAGTGAGTTTGAGAATTTTATCAGTTTTGATATGTCGTGGATGGAGGATGGTGCAAAAGTTGCAAACGGGTTTTGGTGAATGATGTGACCAAAATCAGTTGAGGCTAATGAAAGGGTAAAAGGGTCACGAATAAGCATTTGGACAAGTTCTTTTGGTGCATCTAGTGGTGACCATGGTTGTGATTGTGATTGTATGCTGTGAAATAGCGATAGTAGAATAATGAAGGTTTTTGAAAGATGAAAATAACTTGTCATGGTTTATGAGAGTTATGGTTTGTCTTTATGAAATTGTGTAGTTACGTATTTATAGGAAACTATTGGAAGAGGTTCAGAATTTTTATAATGTTACGTTTTGTGTAAGTTGTAACCTTGGATCTGTAAATTAAATTACTACCTTTTCCGTTTGCACGGCACACAGAACTTTGATTTTCTTTTACTTCCACCGTCCAACTGTCCACCGTGGCAATGTTTGAATTGAAGTTAAAAAAGTCAAATAAAAAAAATAAATAAAAATTCAATTGAAATACATTGATAGTATAAAGAAATTTTACACTGTCAATAAATCAAGTTGTTAAATTTTTATAGATATTTGATCTTTTTTAATTACATATAAAATAGTTGTGATGTGTTCACCGTGTAAAATATGATGTATTGATCGTATAAAATATTTTAAACTGACCGTGCATAACAATTATTCTCTTAAAATAATAATGATAAAAGTGCAAAAAAATGACAAATTATAAGATAAAATACTATTTTAAATAGTGTGAAAAATAAATTATAAATTATTAAAATAAATTATAAACTCATAATGAAAAAATCAATATCAAATTTATTTTTTATTTTCTTATGATTTTATATCATGTTAAATGGAGCGTGAGTATGGTGGTAAGACAAAAGCTAATATTAATTGTATAATATTGAACTTAATAAATTTTATTTTTTATCAGTAGTAATAGTGAATATGTTTTTTTTGTAAGAAATATATTATTTTCTTATTTTATTATATGTTATATTTTTTATTATGTATGAAATTTATAATTAAAAAAATTAATCCCTAAGAATCTTATTAGTTATGTTGTCTTTCTCGCCGTTAAGAGTATTAATTAGTAAATTATAGTCAAAAGTTTGAAGATTTCACATTATTTAGCTTATATAATGGGGAGACTTCACATTAATTAGTTCCATTTCATTGAAAATTATTTGGTTTATTGTATAATGGAGAGACTTCATATTAATTAAACTGTAGAACTACGTGTGATGATTTTTCATAGTCAACAGATAATTTGCAATATATATATATATATATATATATATATATATATATATATATATATATATATATATATATATATATATATATATATATATATATATATATATATATATATATATATATATATATATATATGATACGCATGCTGTTCAACCATTTGATCACTGTATGAGAAATCTTTTTATGACATATATACGATAAGACTTAATATATTGAATATATTATTGGGACTGAAAAATTCTTGTATAGAAACACATGCTCAATTAGATAAGCATTTGTGTAACATTTATATAGATACCTACCGATTTTGTGAGTGTATCTCCATAAACATTTTAAACTATATATTTCTGGTTCGTTGACTATATAAAATATTAGTTACACTAAAAATGTTATTTATTTATTTATTTGTTTTGAAGTTGAAGTCATCTTTTAATATTGGTTGTGCGGCGTGAAGTAGGGTGAGTCGAGTCTAAAGTTAGGCTTTACAATGCATCACGTATATGTTTGGTAAACATTAATATAGTATAGTTGAATAGTTGTATTTGAATTGAAGAATTAATAAAGACTTTGCACGTGCTATACCAAAATGAACAAAAGAAAAGAGATAAGATAAAAGTAGTTAATTGTACAGAACCGCACGCCACTAATTCCTTGGCAACTGTGGATACTATTTGGATTTTAGGAAGAAAATACTAGTACTAGTTTTCCATGAGAAATGCAGGAGTTATAGATAACTTACTTATAGATGTTGGACTAAGCCCAACATGAGAGTCCATTTAGCTTATTTATTTATAGTTTAACTTGTACACAGGGTGTTTTGTTGTTTTGAGGTAATCCGTTGGATCCCTTATTCGATCGCCTTGTATTTCTTGGTTTTTGGTTTTAATCAATATTTTATTTAAAAATAATAATTATTAACTAATTGAATCACTAATTTTACCAAATACTTCAATTAGATTATCAGTCATAAGTCATCAGCCATCAATAATAAGTTATATATTATTTTCTCTGTTTCAAAATGACTGTCGTTTTTAAAATTTTTGCACATAGATTAAAGAATTCAATGATATTGTCATAAGATATTATACTTTTACTAAATTAGTCTTATTAATGTGTTGAAAATAGTGTAGAGAGTAATAATTATATGACACAATTGAAAAATAGTAATTATTATTACATTGAAAAGTTAGAATAACAGTCATTTTGTAACAAAAAATTTCCTCTAAAACGACAATCATTTTGAAACGGATGGAGTATCAGATATCAACCATAAGTTATAAGTTATCAGTTAGCTTATCAACCAATCGTTATTTTTACCAAACATTGACTATATAATGAAAGAATTTTTTTAGATAAATTATAAATTTAAATTAATGTATATTTATAGTTAGAAATGATCATAAACACCTATTTTTTAAATTTCGGCATCGATTAAATATAGGATTTAATGGAGACGCGCTGACAATATAAAAAAGTTTTACACTATCATCTAAATATTATACAAGTAATTCAAAATTTTTAATTTGATTTAGTAGAATATAAAATTGTTATTGGTTGTAAATGTAAAATTAATTTACGAGAGTGAATCACCCATTTTTTTATCATCGATCAACCTAAATGTAATTATTATAAGATAATATAATTATTATGTTATTAAATAATATTATATATTAATAAAGATAATTTATTCTTTTTATATTATTCAGTATTTATATTCTTTTGTAATTATTATTCTATAAATTTGTGACATTCTAATAGAAATTCTAGATTTTTTTTCTTTTGTTAGCATGGTAGGAGAGTTTGGTTGACTCAATAAAATATTTACAATGATAAAAAATTTCCTCTAACAATGTTGTTCAAATTTACTTTCTTATTCATTTAATTGATAAGTCCCCTCAATTTTGTTTTTACAATTTTGTTCCTTTCTCTATACAAATATTTTTAAAGAAGTTGTGTTGCTTTGAGTTTAAATTTGTTTGAATTTTAAATTATTAGAAAAGTAGTGTTAGTTCTTGATTGACAGAAATTTTAGTAAAACTAAGTGTAATCACAGGATGTCCTACAAGATGTCGTGACATCTGTAGTCAGAATTAGCAGGTGGCATTTTGTGCTGTGTAACAGGTCTTCTCATGATGTCAAACCAGATGTCTTGACATTCATGATCCAGAACATTCTGTATGTATGTATGTGTGAGCAAAAGTTGGCTGCACATATCTGCTGTGGAATCTGCGTGATTCTATTTTATGAGTAAAGGCATTTTTGTTGCATCTCCTATGGATCAGATTATATTTGATTTGGATTTAATATCAGAAGATCAATTGTTGTTTTAGAGATTGAGATCAATTGCAAATTTGGAGATTGATTTGATTAGATTTGATTTGCTAAATCAAATCTGATTGATTGGCTGCATTTTATGGTAAAACATTGTTATGTGTGTAGATTTCTTGACATACTTGTGTAGTGTTCTGCAGGATATGTTTGGTTAGCTAATACATAGTTTATTGGATGTCAAGTTGAATGCTGTGACATCGGTATCTGCCAGCATGGGCGCTGTTTTGTTTTCTGTTATGTTTTCTTATTTATCTCAGACTATATTTTAGGAAACTTTCTATTCAGTACTGATCATGAAAGAAAATGCCTATGGCCTATTTTTTAGCACCTTAAATTGTGGAGATTGGATTAACTTGGTTAAACCTAATTTATACTACTTAGGCCTAAGGCCCATGCACTGCATATAAAGAAGAGTGACAATCCTTACTAGAGAGGGAGATTTGTTGGAGTGAAGAATTCTATTTGTGTGTTTGTATCTTCACGTGTGTTTTTGTCTTAGGTTTTCTTGTGAGCCAAGCAATTATCACCTAGATGATTGCATTGGACTAGTGTGGGTTTTTGAATTGTATTTTGGTTGTGTCACTCTAAGCTTTTAAGCACGAGTGTTATGTCTCTTGATTGAAGCTTTTAAGCAAGATCAAGATTTGGTTGAAGTGTGTCTTCCTTTTGAATTTGTTCGTTATTTGATAGATATCACTGCTGTGATTAAGGGGGAGTGAGTAGGAACTCAGGTCTAGAGTTATATTGAAATTGCATTGGATAGTTCTTAAGTGAAGAGCGTAAACTGGTAGTTTAGCTCTGAATTAACACTGCTTATAGTGGATTTCCTCCATGGCTTGGTAGCCCCCAGAGTAGGTGTGATTTGCACCGAACTGGGTAAACAATTTCCTGTGTTCTTTACTGCTTTCGTTACTTGTTTACTGCTAAGTTTAATAATCTGTTCAGAAGAGGATGTTATAACATCCGATATAACATCGACTGTCTTTTACTAGAATTTCAATTGGCATCAGAGTAGGCACCCTGCCTGTTATTTTCTCGGTGAGATCTAGGGACGATAATTTCTGGTACTATAGACAATGATGTAAGACTTGTGAATAGACCACCCATTCTGGATGGATCTAACTATGACTACTGGAAACCTCGTATGATAGCCTTCTTGAAATCTCTGGATAACAGCTAACTCAGGATGGGAACATCCAGTGAAGACAGAGAAAGACGGATCAATTGTGCTAATACCTGAAGAAAACTGGAGTAAAGAGCAAAAAACTTTGGCTCTTGGAAATTCTAAGGCCTTGAACGCTCTATTCAATGGGATAGATAAGAATATCTTCAGACTTTTGCATCCCTGTGAACTGGCCAAAGAGGTTTGAGATACTCTCAAAATAACTTATGAAGGTACCTCAAAGGTCAAGATGTCTAGACTACAGATGTTGACTACTAAGTTTGAGAATCTAAGGATGAAAGAGGATGAGATCATTCATGATTTCTACATGAATATTCTTGAGATTGCCAATACCTTAGGAGCCTTAGAAGAGAAAATGTCTGAAGAAAAACTTGTAAGAAAGATTCTCAGATCATTGCCCAAGAGATTTGCCATTAAGGTTACTGCTATAGAAGAGGCTCAAGATATCAGCAACATGAAGGTTGA